ATCACTTGTTCCGGTCCCTGCAAAACTCCCTCAACGGGAAATCGTTCGCTGATCAGACAGCTGTGAAAACGTACCTCGACCAGTTTTTCGCCTCTAAGCCCCAGACCTTCTATGAGAGCGGAATAATGAAATTATTGGAAAGATGGCAAGAGGTCATCAACAAAAACGGAGAATATATTATTGATTAAAATTCATCCTTTGTATGAAAAAAACTTGTTTCATTTTAGCCTTCAAAAACCGAAGGAATATATGGATCCACCCAAATATTAGCAATTTTGCATCAGCATCTTATATCTTTTTTCGTGCGAAAATGTTGAGTCTTGAGCCGAATAAGTATCATTTGCGGGAGCTTTTGATTTACTTCTTTAATTTGAAGAAATTTGCAGCTGAGGCGCATCGATTGCTTGTAGAAGCATATGGTGAGGCTGCCTTAAGTGAGAGAAGTTGCCGTGAGTGGTTTCAAAAGTTTAAGAACGGTAAATTTGACGTCGAAGACAAAGAACGTAGCGGAAGACCGAAAGTGTACGAAGACGCGGAATTGGAAGCATTATTGGATTAAGATTCGTGCCAAACGCAACAAGCACTTGCACTTACATTAGAAGTGACTCAACCAGCAATTTCACATCGCTTAAAATCGTTGGGAATGATTCAAAATCTAGGAAATTGGGTTCCATATGAACTGAAGCCGAGAAACGTTGAACGTCGATTTTTCACATGTGAAATGCTGCTTGCCAGGCATAAACAAAAGGGTTTTTTGCACCGTGTAGTCACTGGTGATGAAAAATGGATCCACTACGATAACCCATCATGGGGACCACCTGGCCATGCTTCAACATCGACAGCCAAGCCGAACATTCATGGGAAAAAGCTCATGTTGTGTATTTGGTGGGATCAGCTAGGTGTCGTTTATTATGAGTTGCTCAAATCGAACGAAACCATTACTGGGGCTCTCTATCGAACAGAATTGATGAGATTGAGCCGAGCACTCAAGGAAAAACGCTACCACCACTACTCCAGACACGACAAAGTTATTCTTCTGCATGATAATGCTCGTCCACATGTTGCGGCGCCGGTCAAAACCTACTTAGAAACACTCAATTGGGAAGTTTTACCCCATCCGTCATATTCACCAGACATTGCTCCTTCTAATTACTACCTGTTTCGATCGATGGCGCATGACCTGTCTGAGCAACACTTCACATCATATGAAGATACCAAAAATTGGGTCGATTCGTGGATAGCTTCAAAAGATGAAGCGTTTTTCCGACGCGGCATCCGTATGCTGCCAGAAAGATGGGAAAAAGTAGTGGCTAGAGATGGACAATACTTCGAATAAAACATTAGGTACCGTTCTTTCACAATAAATGCTCAATTTTTGATAAAAATGGAAACTTATTTATACTCCTAATATATATGGATGGTTTAACGCCGAAGGAAATCAAAGACGAGTTAGATAATATTTATGGCACACCTGCACCAGCGTTTGCGACTGGTTTACTATACAATGAATGAATTTAAATGTGGTTGTACATCTACATGTGATGCACCTCGTTCGGGACGTCCACTTGAGGCTGCTACACCAGAAATCGATAAAGTTATTGGTTTGATTGATCGATGTGATCTAGTGAAAGTGCGCGAGCTTGTTGAGACCATAGGCATATCACATTTCACAGCGATTTCAATTTTGAACAATTTTGTATGAAAAAGCCATTGGCAAGATGGGTGCTGCGTTTGCTCACTGTGGACCATAAGCGTGACTGTGTGACGATTTCAAAACAATGTTTGGCCTCATCGCCGAAACAGAGGCTTATTTTGAAGGGTTGGACAAATCATATATTATTCGGACGGCTTGAAAAAGTTGGAAAATCATTTGGGATCAAGTGTATCGAGCTGAAAGGAGACTATGTTGAAAAATAAAAATTAATCGATCAAAAAAATGTATTTTACTATGTTTTTCTAAAAACTTATTGACTTGCTCTCGTATCTCTTCTGCAAAATAATACCAAGCTTTACATTGATGGAAAAAAGCTATGCAATACTGGTGCATAGCTAGTTGGACCATTCAGTATATGACCCAGATCTTGTTTATAATTTTTGGATATTTCCCAACTTAAGAAACAAATGTGAAAGCTTGAAAATTTAACACTGATCTGAAAAGCTGAAAGATCAATGATGCAGACAACGTTTAATACAAATATAATATTTGCGCAAAGAAAATGTTGCAAATGGTAGTGAAAAGTAAGTTTTTATAATTAATAAAAATTAACAAATATATTAAAGATTTTTATATGATGATATAGGTATATGATATTATTGTGATTATACACACCCTTTTACCTCTAAGAAGAACTGATAGTTTAAATTATTATTTTTACAATTACAAAAATTTTAAAATCAAATTCCAATATTTATGTATAAATTTGAAATTACAGAATACACTGTGGAAGATGAGGGGAACCTGTGGATAAGGAATGTGAAAGCTTGAAAATTTAACACTTGGCACTTTTCACGATATCGTTCATGCAATGGCGGACTGATGATAAAATATAAATTTATTCAAATTGCAGATAAATTTGAGCATGAGAAAACATTGATGTATTAGATTAAAAATTTTTAAATATAATTTTATGATATAAATTATATAAAATATCAGAGAGATATATGTATATTGTATAAAAAGTAGATTGTGTCTCGATTCGTATTTCTTCATCTATGTAAGTTTAGTCTTTTACTACCTCAAAAAGAATACATCTATAAATTATTAAATATAGTTTAGATTTATAATCCTAACGTTTTGCAAATATTGTAATATATTCGCGCTTGTTCCGGTTTATCCAAACATCCGTAGAGATCGTTTAATTTTAAACAATCTATTTTACTCATCGCTTTTCGTTGGCCGATTGTCACACCAGGTGTTTTCGGAGTTAGAGTCGGTTTTGTAGGATCTTTACTGAAGAAATGGCTTCCGTAATGCATTATACTGTCGTATCCATACTCGTAATTATATGTCGCATTCTCCGGCGATTGCTTATTGAAGTTTGAGCGAAATTCTGTAACGAAAAAGATGGATAAAAAATATGTTATCTTCACATAATATATAAAATATATAATTATGCAATTTTTGTACGCAGTATAATTATATTGATTTGTATTATGATTGTACATATTTTTAAATATTAACTTACCGGGAATAATATTGTCATAGTGTATGTCTATATACATATCTCTATCGGTACGACTGTGCTCGTGAAAGATACCGAGAGCATGCATTAACTCGTGTATCGCTCTTCCCTCATTTTCCAAGCAATTTGGTCCCTTTTCGTCTGGCGGTTCTAAGGAGAGTATCTGAGCCCCACCGAATTTCCCCACGAATGACCAGCACCTGTGGATTAATTTCACGATGCAGAAAGAACAGATTAATCATCTCTTTTGCAACGCTTCATCTGCATTTTTTACAATATAGGAATATTCACCCCTTGGGATATATTATCGGCCAAATCAGTAAGAAGTCTTTGGCTTTAGTATCCCATGGAACAAATTTTATGCATGTCATATAATTTATATATGTGATGGCTTTGTATATTTTTATGTAATCCACTATATCTGAAACGATTATATATGTTATTTCTTAAAATTCTTATTTTTATTAGTTTATTAGTTTATTAGTTTTAGATATTAAAAAGAATACAACAAAATTTTCTAAACATACCATACAAAGCACTAATTACATAGGGAACTGTCCTATTTTCCCACAATTTGTCCGGAAAAACATCCCAGCGTAAACCGATGCGCCAGTAATCGAAATACTGTGTGGCAATGATATGAAGCACGTTTTATAAGAGATATAAAATAAAAAAAAGAGAGTGATATGAGTGTACCTCGCTGATTACGGCTATATCTCCTTCGAACAAGCCGGGACGGACTTCTGCATCCTGCGACGATTCATAGAGCCGTAATAAGTCTTTATTCGTTGTTTTAACTGTAAAGGATTTTTATTCTTTAATTTGCATTTTGTTATTTTAACACAATGCGTGTGCAATTTCATTGCATCAATGTTTTGAAATAAAATAATAAGTTTAATACTCTTATATATTAGTATTTTTATCAATATAAATTAATATTAATTAATTTTGATTTAACTTACTTTTTATCTTTTTGTAGATCTATTCTGGCGAAAATTTTTCTTAGGATTTTTATATGAATTGAAATACTTCAGAAATATTAAAAAAGTCTCTACCACCTTTTTTTGGAATTTGTCATACATGTGATTTCTGAAATATTCTTAGATTTTTCATTCTATAATATTTGAAAAATATCTTAAATTTATCTAAATATTAACCTAAATAGATTAATAAAATTTTAAAAGAAATTACAGAATGAGAAATCTTAAAATATTTCAGAAGTCACAGATAATTTAAAGTACATACATTTCATATATATACATGAAGAATTCTAAAAAATTTACATCTCTGCTGAATAATTTATATAAAAACTGATAATTTTTTTAAATTTTAGAAATTCTAAAAAATTTAGAATTTACATAAAAATTCTCAGATATAAAAAATTTTGAAAAAAATTGTCACCAGAGTAAAAGTTAGAAAAGAAATAAATTAAACCAAGATTAGAATTAGTCTACATTGTAAAAATATATGCATCTCAAACGTTCTGTATAATAATGCATTCTCATTTACCTATGTCTGGAACAATAGGATGTATCGTTTTGACAAAAGTTTCGTTTATCGGCAATGCAATTCCAAAACCGATAATCGCTACGCAAAACAAGCATATAAGCGATTTCATCCTCGTGATTGATTTCCTTTGGTTTTTGTATCGTACACTTTTACAACTGGAAATTCCTATGAGATGAGGTTTTCGCGACCCCACTATGACTTGCGCGGTTTTTTTTTTAAAAGTAGTTGAGGGTAGGTAATGTTAGAGTAGGTTGGCGCTGACCGGTGCAAATGTGAGTGGCTTCATTTTCGAGTTCATAACAATCGTGGTGTCAAAGTTTCATTTACCTTCTAAGAATCTTGTTTGAACACACCATGTTAACATCATAAGCGTGACAAAGTCACTTATATGTGCTGATTCATTTCGTTGATGATTTTTAATTTATCAAATGTATAATATATACACGTACAGTCTATACAAAAAGTTTATACAAAATTAAATCTTCGTATAAACTATA